TTGGTTTGTCACCAGACTGTAGGTACCAAGAAAAATTCTGCTCACCGCCGAAGTATTGCTGGAAAAGGTTTTCGTTGAGCTATCGTTGAAGAAAAAAAATTTGTTCATCGTCGAGGTATGGCTGGAAGAAATAAATAAAATTGACTTGCCGCCAAGGCGTCACAGAAGAATCTAGGTCATTGCCAAAGTGTTGCTGCAACAAAGTTTTGACCTCACTAAAAAAAAATTTGCTTGCCATCGAGGTGTTGCTGAAAGAGAAAATTTGGTTTTCTATTGAGGTATTAGGTCAAGAAAAATTCACGGCGTCGCCAAGATATTGCTGAAGTAAAAACAAATCAGGACATGGAGGCATAGGCATACAAGCTTTGTCTGTCACATCCTTACAACATCTGCAACAGAGCTCTATCTTCGAGACAGATATGCATAAGCACACTTGTGTAACCCGATAACTTCATGTTAAGTGACTACTGGTGTTTGGTGCATAAGTAAACTTATACACTGAGTTAGATCTTTTGGTGGAGCTTCGGCTTGAAATCATCATCAAAACTGGTAATGGCTAATGATGCTGGTGGTATGACCTCTCGGAGTATGGTCTCACTCTATCAATGGCTGCTAGATGATCCATGGCTGATGAAGACGTTCTGGCAATGGCTAACAATGCTAGTAGTATGACCTCTTGGAGTTTGTTCTTACTCTCTAAATAGTTGTTGTCTGATCTGTGGCTAATGAAGACTACATCTGTCATTGCTCTCTGGATTGGTTTATAACTGTTGACTACACTATTTATGCTGGTCGCATGACCTCTCAGAGTATGGTCTCAATGGTTTCTGGATGATCCATAACTAATGAAGACGCTCTGGCAATAGGTGTTGACAACGTTGTCTAAGCCGTTGGTAAAGCATCCCTGCGTCTACGTATCTCGTTGCTCTCCGAGTCGATTTGTGGTTGCTGACGACACTGCCTGTATTGGTGGCATGACCAATCAGAGTTTTTTTTCACTCCAAAACGGTGATAGAAGAAGAAGAAAGAGTCAAAAGTGCGAATTGGCATGCATGGAAGATTTTCGTCCCGAAGGAACAATGGGTCCTTACGGACAAGTTGCGTTCCGAAGGAACAATGGGTCCTTACGGATAAGTTGCGTTCCGAATGAACAATGGGTACTTACGGACTAGTGGCGTTCCTAAGGAACAATGGGTCCCAGAGGGACTAAAAAAAAAAACTTCCACCACGCGTGGAGAAAATATATATATATATATATATATATATATATATATATATATATATTAATCTTCCACCAAGTGTGGAGGGAAGAAAAAAAAAAAAAATTCAAATCTTCCACCAAGCGTGGAGTAAAAATAAAAAAATAAAAATAAATAAATAAACATACCAATTATTTGTGTTCAAGCAGAGGTCGCAATCCAACACAGTCTTCAGAAGTTGTGATCTGATAAGTCTTCAGAGATTATTAGAATTGATGTCAAACTTTACAATATTAAGGGTATATATAGGCAACGAGATACCTCCAAATTGTATTGGGATTTGGACAATTCAACTCAAATAGGAAAGTCAAATTCTAATCCAAAATTGAATAGGAAAGCAAAAAAAAAAAGTTTGGATACTTCAAGTCCCATTTGAAAAAGAAGACAAGTCCTGTCAAACTTGGGACTCGAAATGGGGGCAATTTGTAGACACTAAAAATTTAGTGAGCTTTGGTTTTGACAGATGGACCCAAGAAATATGGGTCTAATGTTTAATTAAGTTATATAATTGGCCAAGCTAGGTCCACTCAAATTATTTAATTAGCCCAACCCAGATAATTAAATGGAAAGATAATTATTCCTAATAAATATATTTGGAATAATTATTTTAAAAGATAATTATCACAATATAACTGGCCCGGCCCAGTTATGATTTTATCCTTATCAGGAGATGACACGTGTCATCATCCTATTAATCTAGGAAGCCTATAAATAGAGGCCTGGAGGAAGAAGAAATTCAGACACAAATTTAGAGTCCAGAAATCCAGAAGGTCCAGAAATTGGGAAAATCAGAAATTCCGAGGGCAAACCTGAAGGTGAAGAATACCAAGCACATCCAAAGCCAAATCCAAAGACGTACCATTCTTCCTCAAATTCAACAAAGGACAGAAATTCAGAATTCAGAAGTTCAAACACAAATTCAGAAGTTCAGACACAAATTCAGAATTCAGAAGTCCAGAAACAAAGTACACAAATTCAGAATTCAGAAGTCCAGAAACAAAGTACACAAATTCAGAATTCAGAAGTTCAGAGACTCAGAAATCCAGAGACTCAGAAGTCAGAGACACAAATTCAGAATCCAAACCCAAAAAAAACGAAGAACATCAAGTACATCCAACAACGACATGCCGTTCTTCATCAAATCCCACGTTGATCAACAATAAGCACATCCAACGACGTGCCGTTCTTCATCAAATCCCACGGTAATCAACAACAAGCACATCCAACAACGTGCCGTTCTTCATCAAATTCCATAATGATTCAAGAACAAGCTCATGTAGCCCTTGGATCTAACCAACAACAAATAAAGGAGATCGAATCAGAGGATCATTCCTTTTGTAAATAATATAATTACAGAGGATTATACTCCATCTTTATATTTAATAAAATATTCTATTTGCTCCCAATTTTGTTCCTTATTTGCAGTTTACAAAATTTATGTGTATAAATTTCCACCGGGCTTTGGTTTCTGCAAATAAGGAACAAAATTGGGAGCAAATAGAATATTTTATTAAATATAAAGATGGAGTACAATCCTCTATAATAATATTCTTTACAAAAAGAATGGTCCTCTGATTCGATCTCCTTTATTTGTTGTTGGTTGGATCCAAGGGATGCACGAGTTTATTCTTGAATCACCGTGGAATTTGATGAAGAACGGCACGTCGTTGGATGTGCTTGTTGTTAATCATCGTGGGATTTGATGAAGAACGGTACGTTGTTGGATATACTTGATGTTCTTCGTTTTTTTTGGGTTTGGATTCTGACTTTGTGTCTCTGACTTCTGAGTCTCTGGATTTCTGAGTCTCTGAACTTCTGAATTCTGAATTTGTGTACTTTGTTTTTGAACTTCTGAATTCTGAATTTGTGTACTTTGTTTCTGCACTTCTGAATTCTGAATTTGTGTTTGAACTTCTGAATTTGTGTCTAAACTTCTGAATTCTGAATTTGTGTCCTTTGTTGAATTTGAGGAAGAATGGCACGTCTTTGGATTTGACTTTAGATGTGCTTGGTATTCTTCGCCTTCAGGTTTGCCCTCGGAATTTCTGGCCCTCTGGTTTTCTAATTCTCCCAATTTCTGGACCTTCTGGATTTCTGGACTCTGAATTTGTGTCTGAATTTCTTCTTCCTCCAGACCTCTATTTATAGGCTTCCTGGATTAATAGGATGATAACACATATCATCTCCTGATAAGGATAAAATCATAACTGGGCCGGGCCAGTTATATTGTGATAATTATCCTTTAAAATAATTATTCTAAATATATTTTATTAGGAATAATTATCTAGGTTGGGCTAATTAAATAATTTGAGTAGACCAAGCTTGGCCAATTATATAACTTAATTAAACATTAGGCCCATATTTCATGGGTCCATTTTTCAAAACCAAAGCCCACTAAATTTTTAGTGTCTACAAATTGCCCCCACTTCGAGTCCCAAGTTTGACAGGACATGTCTCCTTTTTCAAATGGGACTTGAAGTATCCAAACTTTTTTTTTTTTTTTTTTTTTGCTTTCTTATCCAATTTTGGATTGGAATTTGACTTTCCTATTTGAGATGAATTGTCCAAATCCCAATACAATTTGGAGGTATCTCGTTGCCTATATATACCCTCAATATTGTAAAGTTTGACATCAATTTCAATAATCTCTGAAGACTTGTCAGATCACAACTTCTGAAGACTGTGTTGGAATGCGGCCTCCGCTTGAACACAAATAATTGGTATATATATATATTTTTTACTCCACGCTTGGTGGAAGATTTGAATTTTTTTTTTTTTTTCTTCCCTCCACACTTGGTGAAAGATTTGTATTTTTTTTTTTTTTTTTTTTCTCCATGCTTGGTGGAAGTTTTTTTTTTCTTTTTTTTTTTTTAGTCCCTCTGGGACCCATTGTTCCCTAGGAACACCACTAGTCCATAAGGACCCATTATTCCTTCGGAAAACATCTAGTTTGTAAGGACCCATTGTTCATTCGTAACGCAACTTATCTGTAAGGACCCATTGTTCCTTCGGAACGCAATTTGTGCGTAAGGACCCATTGTTCCTTCGGGACGAAAATCTTCTATGCATGCCAATTCACACTTTTGACTCTTTCTTCTTTTTCTATCACCGTTTTGGAGTGAGAACAAACTCTGAGAGGTCATGCCACCAGTAGAAACAGTGTCGTCAGCAACCACAAATCGACTCGTTGATGCAGAGAGGCTTTACCAACAGCTTAGACAACGTTATCAACACCCATTGCCAGAGCGTCTTCATCAGCTATGGATCATCCAGAAACCATTGAGACCATACTCCGAGAGGTCATGCGACCAGCATAGATAGTGTAGTCAACAGTTGTAAACCAATCCAGAGAGCAACGACAGATGTAGTTTTCATTAGCCACAAATCAGACAACAACTATTCAGAGAGTAAGAACAAACTCCAAGAGGTCATACTACTAGCATTGTTAGCCATCGCCAGAACGTCTTCATCAGCCATGGATCATCTAGCAGCCAATGATAGAGCAAGACCATACTCCAAGAGGTCATACCACCAGCATCATTAGCCATTATCAGTTTTGATGATAATTTCAAGCCGAAGCTCCACGAAAAGATCTAACTCAGTGTATAAGTTTACTTATGCACCAGACATCGGTGGACACTTAACATGAAGTTATCGAGCTACGCAAGTGTGCTTGTGCATATCTGTCTCGAAGATAGAGCTCTGTTGCAGATGCTGTAAGGATGTACACTAACAGGGGAAATGTATAATCGGTTTAGGTTCTTCACCAGTACTCGCTTTCACGATTTCTTTATCAAGTTCAATGACCCTACCCTTTTGTGCTCAGTATTTAATCAATTTCAGGCTCAACCATTTCAAATATGCAAGGATGTCTTGGACTTCATTGATCTAAATCGTGACTTCTTAGTAGCAGAGGGTCTTCTTATGAATGGATGTCTTGCTAACGTCAATCTAGAAGAGGCATCTCGCCTATTGAGGCACTGTTACTTCTTGAATGAAGGGGTGCAGGAAGTTGTTAGCTTCCACACGTTGTCAACAGATTTATCGAAACGGGTGCAGCGAGCTAGGTATGAATCATTTGTATTAACTCTTGCGAGAGCATACGCTGGATATCAATTTTATCTGCCTGCGTTCATGGACTTCCGGGGTCGAATGTACAGAGCTGGGGTCTCACATTTCCACCAACGAGACTTAGCCAAATGCTTGATTTGTTTTGCTTCTAATAAAAAGACAGAAGAACAAAGTCATGATCTTAGAATGACATTAGAAGCTGCAGCAGCCTTCAAGTTTCAGAAATTTCAGACAGTTGAACAAGCTTCTTTATGGTATAGAGAGTACTGTCAAGACAAGATTGTTTCAGACAAGAGCCTCATTGTCTTGGCTAAACAAGCAAGTGATCCTTTCCAATTCTTAGGTAAGGTTCTGGCTGATGAAAGAGATACCACTCTTCATTGTGTTCCGGTTACTCAAGATGCTAGTGCTAGTGCTTACCAGATCATGAGTTACCTACTTCTTAACAAGGAATTAGGGATGCACACGAATCTTCTCCCCTCTCCAGATAATAAAATACAGGACTTCTATGCGTTTTTGAAAGACGAGCTTCTGGTCTTCTTGCATTCACGATTGAATTCGTTTCAATATGCATCGATAGAATCTGGGTTCACTAGAGAAATAGCCAAACTACTCTATATGCCTTTGATTTATGGGAAGACTGTGATAGCCATGGCTTCTGACATAAGACAGTTTAAAGGGATGCTTTCTAATAAGGAATCCTATCACATAGCACAACTGTGCAAGGAATTTTGGAGCCAAAAATATCCTGACATAGTGAATCTCATGAAGCTACTTAACCTCATTGGATCGTGGTGTGCCGTCTCCGATTTACCAGTGCTCTATAGTACACCCATCCTCGCAACTGTGCAAGATTATAGGAAAAGCTCTATCTCAGAGATTTGGGTATACAATAGGATCAGCAAAAAAAGATGTCGGGTTAGCCTAACTGTGCCTACGGTGGAAAGGGATTCTAGAAAGACTCAAGTGGCTACATGCATGAACTTTATTCATCAGAAAGATGCCTATATTGCCATGAAGGTAGTAGAACAACTACAGCTAATGAAAGCACCAATATGCACTGTTCATGACAATTTTCTAACTACCGCTGAGTTCGCTGCTGAGATTCCTACTATTTATACTAATGTGTTTATGGAGATGGGGCATCCATTTAAAATCATAAACTCCTTTCTTGTAGATAATATTAATAGCAAAGGGCTTGATGTACCTTCGGACTCTCTTCCTCTTCCTGGTGACTATATTAGAGATCTCTTAAGAGACCTGGTTAAGAATGTATCTCCTAAAGATAAGAAATGGGATCAAAAGATCGAAGAAACTGTGACTTCTTACTTGGAATATGTAAGAACTGTGTTTAAAATCCCAAGTGGGTGTGAAGATGCTCAGAGTTCTCAAATGAAGTGGGATGATTTTAATTCCCTTCTAAAGAGGTGTCTGACTAGTAAGTATAAGTATAGCGTGCATTTTTGAACGATGTAGGCGGCTGATCTTTCGGGAAAATGAGCAATAAGCAACCAGAGGAAGCAACCATATGGATCCGGTACGGAAAGAGAAGGGAGTACACCACAGACTCTACCTTGAGCTACGCGCATAAAGAGTCTCAAAAGGTAGGTCAGCTTGCTTTAACCCCTTAAATCCAGTATATCATCCTACTCTACACAGTACTATTATTATATATAGTATTTAATAGTAATTTCAAATTTGTTCATGCATTGCAAACAAGTTTTCCAAGGGAAAATGAAAATCTCATATTCGCTTATGTAGCAGCATTATAATACCTTATATCAGGTTAAGGCATTGAGCAATGCTCTGCCTAGCCTGATCAAAGAGAATCCTACAATATCAAATTTGACAAATAAACCAATTCTAAAGGATCTATTTAAGTGTATGGGTATTGAGCAAAGCTCTACCTCTCTTAAATAGAGCCATTAGAGATCCTTAAGTAAGGGTACTGGTATTGAGCAAAGCTCTACCTTGCCTTAGTGATTTCGCTAGATGCTTAACACATGCTCTTCGAACCTTGTTATTCCTCAAAACATTCTTAGTGGACGGGTATTGAGCAAAGCTCTACCCTCCTCCTTGAGACTGACATACTCTTGACACTGTAGGTAAAGGGTATTGAGCGATGCTCTGCCCAGCCTGATGTCCGATTCAGTGAGTTGTTCGGACGAGCTGATATTTCTTTATGAGTTCGTCTGCGTGGGTTCGCGTATACTCATAAGTTTGTTATAATTTAGGGGTCAATCTGTGAAAAAAGTTTAGACTATAACAAAATGGCCAAATTGAACTCTGCTTTGAGAAAATGCTTTAATTTTTGTTAATGGGGTGTTTTGAGCCTTAATTCTCTTTTGAAGGTTTTTCTAAGGTTAAGAGGCTATGCCTCCTATATTACTTTTTGAGAAATGAGAATATTTTAGCTCCTTGAGTAAAGGGTGGTGTACTTTTACCTAGGATTAGAGCAATTCCTTTTACTTGCAAGCAACGACTCCCTTATAAGTTTTATTATTGGAGATGTGCGCTTTTGCTTGTTATGTATTTTAATTAATTTAATTAGCATTCTGAAATGCTTAGGAATGCTGTTTGAATTAAACCAACAACATAAAATTTAGGGTTAATTTCAAAAATAAGTATCACTTAGAACCCAAATCCCGTTTTTGTCTCTAACACCGTTGAAAAGCTGTGAATGTACATTTTTACCCTCATTTTTTAATTATATTTTAATCCAAAATATAAAAAATCTTGAATGACCAAACTGCCCACATTGATTACTATGACCCACAATTCTCTCTCTTAACTTGACTCACGTCTCTCTGTATCAGTTCATCTCCTATCCTAATGGAGGTTTTTTTGCCATAGCTCGTCACCGGAACTGTTGGTGCTATAGTTCTGTTCTGTGTTGTTAGCCCAAAATAATGGAGGTTTCTGAACTGGAGCGAGCGGTTTGTTTGTTGTAACTCACTGTTTGGGTCCCTTGAAGCTTGTCTTACTGGAACTTAAACACACAGTACTGAAGCTCGCCGGAACTAAAGCTTATTAGAACTGAAGTTTGTAGGAACTGAAGTCGCTGAAGCTTTTTTTTGTAGTTTCCACCGATTGAAGCTCACCTGAATTATGCAGACTGAAACCCACCAATCTGTTGCTTCTGAATGAGGCTCGTCAGAAATTGTTCTCAATTTTTTTGGTCAAAGCCCACTCAGTTTGCTCTTAAACTCACCGGTTGGGTACTGTAGCTTTCACTGTTGGTTTGTCACTAAGGCTTTTCGGGGGTTGGTTGCCGTTCTAAAACTCAGGTTGGTCGCTAATCTGAAGTTCACCGAATTGGCCTCTGAAGTTTTTCTTTGTTTTCGGTATAGCTTGACCCACTGTATGATTCTCTAAGTTGTAGTATATAAATTATATGTTTGTATCATTGAAGCTCATTGTGTTTGAATCTTTGATCAGAGAGTAGATGCATGTATATATATTTTAACCATGGGCACAGATTCTTCAAGTTATTGTTGACGATAATTTCTATTCAGCTCTTGAGTTTGCTCCCATACGTTCACTGTTGCACTATGTATATTTGATTTGATCAATATAGCCGTTTTCCATTAAATCTATCCTAGCCCTTCATTTACACAAAGGCTGAGTGCATATTTAATAGCCTTTTGATGACAGTGCATTGAAAGTATATTTTTTAGAATTTAGAAATCAAGTGAATTGAAATTTTAAAATTTTTAGATATTCCATTATAGTATGTAATCATTTCATATATCTAAAATTCTAAGCAAATTTAATATTTCCATTTCTTACCGAAAAAGAAAATCAGATTTTCCATTATAGTACGGAACACCCCAACATTAGAATTTTCATTTCCGAAATTTCAGATTTTCATTCTAAAAATTTTAGAAATTTCTAAATTTCCAAAGTATAAGAGTTTCGGAATCTCAGAATCAAAAGCTTGATATATTTCTCGCCATAGGAGAAGAAGAAAGACATTTACTTGGCTTTCTTCTTTTGACTTCAAAATTTCCAAAGTCAAGAGTTTCGGAATCTCACAATGCGTCATTTATTTCTCACCATAAGAGAAGAAGAAAGACATTTATTTGGCTTTCTTCTTTTGACTGGTTTCAGTCAAATTAATCTGTATCCCTTAATTCGGGTATTATGGTTAATGGATTTTTAAAAATTGATGGATATATATATATACACACACTTTAGTCAAAGAAGAAGAGAGAGGGGGGTTTGAATTTTTGGACATTTTGGTTACCTAACTCCGGCCCGCGCCCGCCGGGGGTGGGGGTGGGGGTTGTTGTTACTGAGGAATGGATTTTATTTAGAACATCTCAAAATTATGTTTTGGGTAAAATGCAAAAAACCCCCCATGAACTCTCGGGGAATATGCAAAATACCCCCTGTACTACAAAAAATGCATAAAACCCCCTGAACTAGTCACATTTGTTGCAGATTGCCCCCTCCGGCAATAATCCGGCCAAAAACATCTCTAATTTGAGCGCTTGTGTGACACCTGATATAGGAATTAATTTTGATGGACAATAATGCCCTTATAAATCTGAAAGGACCAATTCGCCCCTGTTATGACTGTTGCAGCCAAACACACCTTAACTCTCAATCCTTATATATATCTATAAAAACCCGTATATACACCCAAGTATTGGAACCCTAAAATAATTTCAGAAAACCCTTAAATTGATTCGCCATACCTCTTAATCCTCTCAATCCATATGATTATCTGTTCGTCGTGGATCCTCTATCTCTCGTGCCATCAGTTCGTCGTCGATTAATCACACTCTCTCTGTATTTGTTGTGTTCTACTCCTCTCTGTGAATCTCAGATCTGTATCGACTATAAGGTAATCCTCTTACTCTATTTGGTTCTATATTGAGGTCAGTTTATATATATATGGTAACCCTCTCTTTGTATTTGGCTCTATATTGACAAGTTTAACTGTACAAATAGAGATCATGTACATATATATAGTTCTCCTAACTTTTTGAAGGTCTTGATAATGGAAATTGCTGGGCCTCGAATGATGAATAAGAGGGGTTGGTGTGTCTAGAGAGCTTATGTATTCATTTCTGAGTCCGCGAATAATACTGGGAGGTTATATTATAAGTGCAGTAGAAGGGTTTGCAAGTTTTTTGAATGGGGGACTCCTCGTTTGATACCAAACATCAATCGACGTCCTCAAGCTAGTCCTTTTGTCCCTCTGGCTGATGAAGTTCCTCTAGTAGCTCTCAATTCCATCACATCATTTGCAATGGCTATGTTTGTGGGAAGCATTATATTTTTTGGGTTCTCTATTTTAGTTTTATTTCTTTCTCTTGCTCTTAAGTGAATGTAATGTAGGTTAAGACTGTTTTGGTTATTGTATGATGTTATGTGGAGGTTTGGGTGTATGATGTTATGGAGGTTTGGGTGTAAGATGTAATGGAGGTTTGGGTTATTGTATGATGTATTTGAGGTTTATGTTATATAATTGGGTGTTATGTAGGAAGATGATGCCAAACTCTGTTTTGTAATAGTGTTGTTGACTAATGAAACGCCTATTTGCAAGAACCCTTGGTAGCTATTGTGTTTTTTAAGTGGTATTCTGTAATGCTAAGTGCTATGGTGTTGTGCTTTTATGTGATATTATGCACAAACACACTACACTGCAATAAAGCAAGCCTGCGTTGCCAACAAATGGAACACATTCAAAGTACACTAAGCCTGTGAAAACCAAACTACACTGCAATACATGCCAATGACACATTCAAAGTGCAATTTAATGACCTGTTCAATGACAACTACAAATGGAACCCATTGAAAGTGCAATTTAATAACATGTTCAATGACAGTATACATGTTCAATAATACTAAGCCTGTTTAACCAAACTACATTGCAATTTTTCAAAGCATTCAAAGCACACTAGAAGCAAATAAATATACATTAAAACCAAATGACTGAGCACCATCAACCTTTAATTGCAATGAAACAAATATTTCTGGCAATAATATGTTCAATGACAGTATACCTGTTCAATGACACTAAGCCTGTAATACCCCTAATTTCAAAAGGATAGTCCTAGTATTTAATTTATGTTTTAATTGATTTTTTTTTAATTATTTGCCTTACTTGACTTATTTGTATTATTTGAATTAATTAAATGGTGTTTGAATTTTAAATTGTTTAACTAGTGGATTGGTGTTTTATTTGCAATAATTGATGACTTGTTGTTTAATGGTGATTCTGTGAATTAAGTAATTATTACATTGTATTTTATTTTCTGTATTACGTTAGATTGGACTTTATCATTTTCTTTAATTGAATTGATGATTAAAGGTTTTAATTTAGGAAGTAATTTAGGAAGTATTTTAATTAACTATTTTTCATAATTTAGGGTTTAGTTTTTTTTAGCCGACACAAGTTTTAATTAAACTCTATGGGCCGGTTAGGATTTAGTTAGGGCTTGAATTAATTTAGGGTT